CCGCTGCTGCTGCCGAGAGGAGCTCCGACCCCCGCCGCCCTCCGCCAGCCCCCCGGGAACCCCCTCGGTCTCCCCAGGTTTCTGACCGCCGCGCTCGGCAGCCCTCGGCGCTATGCTGGCCTGCCCCGCGCCTAAGGCAGCCGTCCAAGGTAAGGTAACGTAGCGTCTGCTCTGAAGGTTGGGCACGCGTGTTTTGAAAAGGGAAGGGAGGGTAAGCAAGGCTCTGGGATTCTCTGGTCCTGTGCTGGGTATCTGGGGCTCCCAAAAAAGTTCGGAGTTCCTACGAGCGTGCTGTGTCATTTGCTAGTTTGGAAAACTTCCCTTCTGCTTCTCGATCTGCAAAGGTGTTTCTTACCCCAAATGGTGGGGAACCGACCGGGGTGAAAAGAGCAGCAAGTGCTGGAGCTGCTTTTAGTGCTGAACGAGGGAAAGGGGGTTGTGAAGGCGCCACAAAACAGGTTTGAGAAGCATCGTTTGGGAAGGATGCTCTGTCACCGGGGATGGCAAGCGGAGGGCGCTGGGGGAGGCACGTGGGGGGCAGCGCCTGGTCCCCGGTGCCACCGTTGCTTTCCTCCGGGGGCTGGGGAGGGCATGAGGTGGGAGAATAATTTCTTGCATCTACAACAGTAACGAGTTCTGTAAGGCAGCAGCCGTGTTTGCCGCTTCTGCTTGAGCGAGAGGACGAGCTAAGGGCTCTTTGCGCTGTCTTTGCTGTAGTGGATGTTCGCCCCTCTCCTCCTCCTCCTGGCTGAGCTTGGCTGCAGCGCCCAACCCACTTACCAATGGAGAGATGCTGCGACGAACGAGAAGCTCACCTGCCAGCAGTGCCCGCCGGGGACCTTCGTGGCACAGCACTGCACCAGGGACAGCCAGACGGTCTGCAAACCCTGCCCGGATTTGCACTACACGCAGTACTGGAACTACCTGGAGAAGTGCCGGTACTGTAATGTCATCTGCGAGGAGAAGCAGGTGGAGGTGCAGCAGTGCAATTCCACCCACAACCGCGTCTGTCAGTGCCAGGAGGGCTACTACTCCGAGATGGAGTTCTGCATCAGGCACTCCGAGTGTCCGCCGGGCTCCGGCGTAGAGAAACTGGGTAAGTACCCGAGCCAGGGGGCTGCAGCAGCGGTGGGGGTGCTCGCGAGGCTCTTGTCCCATCCCGAAATTGCCGCTGGAGCTAAAGATCAAGGAGAAATACAGCAGCTGACGATCGCCCGTAGCCTGACCTACTCCCTTTTCGCTCACCAGCGCGGTGCCATCCTTGCTGGCGTGTAAAACTGGCGCCTGCCTTCTTTTCCAAGGAATGGTTTGTTTGGGTTTTTTCCCCTGCTTTCGTTTTGAAAGCCTTTGAAATCCCCCAGCACCACGCTGAGATGGGACGCGGCAATCCTGGTTGCCTGCTTCACGTGCCGCAACAGGCAGAGCCGGGCCGTGATTCACCGTCCCCGGGGCAGCCGCTCGCCCCGCCGGGGCTGTCGTGGAAAGGTCCGAGCGGCCCCTGCTCCTCTCCCAGCTCCCTCCTCCCCGCAGGCAGGGAGCAGGGAACGTGGATGTCCTGGACTGAACAGGGCTGGTGAACGCGCGTAGCTCTGGGGCTGGGTTTTGCGGTTTATTATTGAGCAATTTGGAGAGGCTGTGTTCAAAACATGAAACGGATACGTGGACGAGTTCCAAAACAATAAAACCAGCCTTGTTTCGATTCCTGTCTGGGGGAGATTCACGAGTCCAAGACTCTGTCCCCTGGTGAGCTGTAAGTCACGAGAGATTTTAGCGGGGGTTATTTTCCCATTGCTTCCCCAGCACAAATTTCCCTGGGCCCTTCGTCACCCCCATTTGTATGTGTGCAAGCTTTCTAAAAATACACGTTGCGGGTTTCCCTCTCGCTGTCCCCTGAATCACCGAGGACCCGGCTCCGTCTGGGAACCACAGCTGGGTATGATAAAACAGCGCGGGCAGCACCAGTAAAACCAGCGTTATCTCGCTGCGTGCTTTGAAGTGTGAAGGCTTTTAACGTCCTTCCGTGTGCGGCACAGAAGAGCTCCAGGCTCGCAGGCCAGAGCAGAAATACCTGTTGTCTCCAGCTGATGCTTATGGTTGAGGTTCAGGGTTTGATTTTTGTATAGGACGTGACTGTGACAAAATGCAGCGATGCAGGAAAAGGTGAACTGGGTCTCCAAGCAATGCGGGGAAGCCCTTTGAAATTAAGCATCAAATTTGGTCGGAGCCTTGGCTGTAGGACTGGGGAGCCATGTGGGCAAGCTGGGGCATTTGAGGAGAAGTTAATTTTTTGTTATTATTTTTTTACAAATGGCTTCTTGTGTGGGGAACGGTGGTACCCCAGCCCAGATGTCAGAACCCAACAGCAAGGACCGAGCGCCCAGCGTGGGTGGGCAGAGCCCTGGGGCTGTGAGCGCTTGTGTCGGGACGGGGACGGTGTGGACCCTGTGGCCGCGGGGCCGTGGGCAGCTTTGGGGTTGGCCGGGTGCTTTGATCCGTGTGCCGTTCCTCTGGGGACGCGGGCTTTTCTTGGCTTTCCCATTTGCAAATACCGACTCCGGCGCTGGGGTCATCAGCTGGGCTGGCCGGCACTTCTCCTGGTAAAGCCAAAGCAACGGCCTAAAGCGGGTTGCAACATGGCAGAGACCTTGTTCTTAGGAGGGGAGATGAAAAGGGGTGTGACATTTGCTGCCGTCAGGGCCGTTCCCTCTTCTCCCAAGGAACGTGCAAGGCGCCCTGGTGCAACCTCGCTCACGTGGCACCGTCCCTGTGAAGCGGCGGCGGGGCTGGCCCGGAGCCTGGGGGGGGAA